AAAAAAAAAAAGTTATCTAAACTCCAATATAAAATATGACACTTAAACGCTTAAACTCACTATTTCTTTATTAATTTTAATTTTATTATTTTATTAACTATATTGAGGTCAGTAAAATACCTAAAAAAAATTCACATTCCATACTTCACGCTGGATAGACATCCTATTCACAGAATAAGATGCATTTGAAGATGCTTTGGTGGTGAAATGGTAGACACACGAAACTCAAAATCTCGCGCTAAAGACCGTGGAGGTTCGACTCATCTTCAAGCATAATGTTGAGAATGCTCATTGAATGAGCAATTTAATAAGAGAGCTCAAAACAAATCGATATTGATATTGAGCATTCGAATCTAGCCATGCTATAATTTCCCGTACGTTACGTTATATACACATTCTTGAAATGTGAATCAAAACTCAACCTTCCCATCCCTAATAACCTTACAAACAATGCCAAAAACAAAAAATAAAAACAAGAACTCCATAAATCACTCAAGTAGATCTTCCCACTTGCAATATTGTCCCCCAGCTAAGGCGCGGTAGAACCTGTCCCTGCAGTACACAGGCCTCCCGTCAGCAGCCTCAGCAGCTGCCGCTGCTAAATCGTCATTTGAAATCACCTCCACTGGCAATCTCAACAATTCCTCCTTCCTGCGAATAAGTTTAGTGCATATATTATGTATCGTCAGCAAATCTTTCCAAGGGTAAAGTATTACAGAGATATGATGTGATATGATACTGAGGCCAATGAAACCTTATTGTGATCTTCGAAGCTGACGTTTGGGAGATGTTCCCTTTCTGTACAGAGGCCCTTTGAAAAAATTCCTCAACAGGTGTTGCAAAAATAAACAATGAAACAGCTGCAACGAGCAGGGCTCCTGTCCCGACCAGGGTCTGTTTTAGCAACTTGATCACTGGTTTTACCTATGTGCATTAAAACGACACAACTTTTTTTTAGCTAACGACAAAATAAATAAGCCCTGTTCATGGCTTCTAAACTGTAAGCTACGTACATACTTCTTGAGTTCATGAAGTAGAGCAAGTTTGTATCAGAATGCGTACCTTATATGACCCCAACAAACGATCACGAGCAAGGATCTGAGATGATGATGAGGAAATGAAAAGATTCAATTACTTTTCCGATCAAAACATAAATCCAAAGCTCGGTACATGAATACTTAATTGTCTTGTTCATTTTATTTCACTAGTGACAGAAAAAAGGATAATCGAGATCCAACATAGCTGTAACTCCAATTCTACATATGAACCTTCTTCACAAGTTAGATTACAACTTCACATTTACAAGAAGGCTAATTTACATGTTCAATGACAAAAAAAAGAAAACCAACCTCAGGTGGTTTTACCCACATCTGGCCATCATACCACCCGCTCTCTTCGTACGGGACAACTGCCGACAAAAGCCGGTCACCAACATAACTCCATCCCTATCAAAAATACACAAAAATTTGCTTCAATTTTTATTTTTTCCCTGTTTACAATAAGGCAAAAAAAATGAGATACCAGATAAATCCTTAGCACAATCAACGAAACAAGGAAAAGAGTTCCCGTTCCGGCAGCTAGGGCGAAGCGCAATGGATCCTGCAAAAATGTATTTTAGTTTAATTGATTTTGTGTAGACCAAGGTTTACAGTATTGTTGTACACATAGCAATGTGAGTTGTACCTTAGAAGGGCTGAAGCTCGCCGCCGCAATCGGCACTCCAAGGGCCGTGAAAGTGGCCAACCAAAGTCCGCCGAGCCGAAGGAAAAACGACGCAGGGCCCAAGTCCGCCCATGAGTACAGAGTCTCATCTTTTAGGGATGAATATTCATTCACCTGAATTGAATGAAATTCATAATAAAAATTTCAGAAAAAACAAATTATTAATTAGAAATTTAAAAAAAAAAAAAAAGGAGAGAAAGAAGAAAGAAAGAATTTACTGGTCTTTGATCAAAGGGTACTTGAAATTCCAAGCCGGGATCCCAACTCTGACCCGGTGCACCTCCGCCGCCGCCGCCGCCGCCGCCCATCTCGTCATTCAATGCCCCAACAACAAATGAATTAGTATTACGACTTTTCTTGGTAACAAATACTGAGCTGAGCCTGAGACTGAGAGTGGTGGTGGCTACGGACTTTGTCTGTTCACTGCCGCCATGAATCGGGACAACACAGCAGCAGTACAGCTTTAATCGTAACATACTTCACTTCTTCTTCTTCTTCCTTGTTGTTGTGACGCCTTCAAAATCACTCCAACTTTTGCGATATTCATTTATCTCTCTCTATTTAATACACTAATTTACGTGGACCAAAATCATGGACAACTTTTTTTAAAAAACAAAAAAAAAGATTTTATATTTTTGTAACGGTGGAAATTTCATTGCAAGGCCTAACTCTTAGTATATGTATTAATTTAAGGCCTGAATTTTATACTTTTTCAAAAGAAAACTTACATTTTAGATTATTTTAACTTTAATACTTACTTTTTAGTTAACTTTTCATTATAAGGTCCAACTAACTTTACTTTTTCATATAAATATGTAAAACAATTATTATGTGAATAAAAATATTATTATTATCATTATTATTATTATTATTATTATTATTATTATTTTGTAATTTATATTTTACATACTTATAATAAAAAATAATAAATATCTTTAGTAAAATTATATTAATAAAAAATAAAACTATATAAATTACAATGATGCGAAACTATATAAATTATATTTATGCAAAAAGTTTAACAAAGAAAAATTACATCATTGAAAATAGATGTTTATATAGTTTTATTTTTTATTAATATAATTTTACTATCTTAGTTTCCCATCACTGTAATTCCAATGTTTTACCATTGTAATTTATATAGTTTCATTTTTTATTAATATAATTTTACTAAAGATATTTATTATTTTTTATTATGAGTATGTAAAATATAAATAATAATAATAATAATAATAATAATAATAATAATAAAACTTTTATTCACTTAATAATTGTTTTACATATTTATATGAAAAAGTAAAGTTAGTTGGGCCTTATAATGAAAAATTAACTAAAAAGTAAGCCTTAAAATGAGAATAACCTAAAATGTAAATCTTCAGTTAAAAAAGTATAAAATTCAGGCCTTATATTAATACATATACTAAAAGTTATGCATTCCAATAGAATTTCCCCTTTTGTAACGTGAGGACTCAATATGTTGTAAGGGTGTGTAGTGTAATGTAACTAGTGTGTATTCTGATGTGTCATTGCCACGGACCGGGTTCAACCCGCGGATCACGAGTTTCCCTCAACCTAGAGCTCTAATAACCCGGTAAAACGTCGAGAGGGGTCTTGGTGAAAAACCTCCGAAGCCCAAGTCAAAATATGCTTATGAGAGAAAACAGAGATATATATATATTGTAAGAAAGTGAGTGGAAATAGTTGTAGAGGGTTGTTGTGGGGCTATCTGCGATTGCAAAGTAAAAGCAAAGTAACCTATTAATCAAATCATCTACTCCTCATATATCAATTTGATTGAATATTTTGAGATTGCGTGAAGAAATGAGTCAATGACATTGTTTGCCTTACTGCAAATTGCCCACTTGATCAGTACTTGCACCATTGAATTTTTTGAGATTGTGCGAAGAAATGCCATTGCTTGCCTTATTGCAAATTGCCAACTTGATCAGTACTTGCACCCTCATCTCTCTCTCTCTCTCTCTCTCTCTCTCTCTCTCTCTCTCTCTCTATATATATATATATATATATATTGTTAAATGGTAGAGCAGAGAGAAACAATATAGAAAGTGTAGGGAATATGCATCTTAATTTTTCTGGAAGAACAGATACAATTATGATATTCGTATTACATTGTTCAAGC